CTGGGGGGCCGGGCTGGCAGCTCTCCTGCCCTAGACGGCCACTTTTCTGTGCCTAGTGTGGAGATCGTGGACGAGGTCCACAATGTCCGCCCTAGCCCAGGCGGGTGCCCGTCTCTTGCGGTCCCGGGCAAGCTCCCTAGTCATCAGTACAAGTTTCCACTTCTTGTAAGCTTCCTTTTTATGTTTTAGCTCACCATGGATGTCCCCGGTGAGCCAGATCATGCTTGGTCCTGCCGTGAGGACAGGGATCGGGATTGATTTCTTGAGGTCCCTTCCAGTTCTAGTATTCTGTGACCTGCAGATGGCCCATGTCAGCTGACTCAGGCTGGGGCTATAGGAATGTGTAATTCAGGGTAGACATTGAGGCTCTGGGATTATCTCCCATTGCAGAGTCCCAAAGCATGGGCTCCAGCATGGGCCCAAATGCTTCACCTCTTGTTAAACACACTTGTTAGCCATTGGTGTTTAATTGTGGTGTAGACAAATTCAGAGATGTGAACTCGCAACAAACAACGGCCTGTTGATTGAACAGGACTAGTCACATTGGGCATATTGTCCTCAGTTGACTCCTGGTTCAATGTTGTATTTTGATCTTTAATTCAGATAGATGATAGGACCAGGCTATTGTAAAGCAGTGAATATCAGAGACATAAGCTACCTGTGTCCTTAGGAGCAAAAGGTGCAGATAAATATTTAGCCATGTTTAGACAGCTGGTGAGAAATAATTACATATTTGAAAAGTGCACTACAGTTCACAGCCCATCATATCTTATTAATACGTTCAAATAGCATGAAATAGAACTAGCTTTGGCTAGGGATAAAAACCTGAACACAATTTAAAAAAAAAAAACCCCCACACATTTCTAAATGAGAAGTCAGATCAAGTCATCATTTTCAAAACCTCCAAAAACTTGTTTCAGTAAGTAAAACAAAACAAAACTGTCAGTTTAGGTTTGAAACCAACTACTCTTTTTTTGGTTTGACCACCAAACCAAAATAAATCAGTTATTTGTTCTGCTCTACTATGGAATAGCCTGTCACAGTAGATTAGAATGAGCTCTAGTCTGACTGTTTTTAGAGTCCTTTATAAAACATATCAATAGA